AATCAGATGCAACCACCTTCAAGAACAAAACCTCCATTGTTCGAAACAGGATCAACCATGAAACAGAGGAAGAAGAGTAATCTCTCAATCTTGGTGATCGTCTTCTCTCTTTTCATCTTCGGGTTCTTCATGTACAACGAAAACGTCAAATCCATCGTTAAATTCACATCTTCAAACCCATTCTCTAATCCATTTCATCAATCTAACAGTAAAGAAGACGACGTAGAGTTGCCTCCGGAGGATTGCGATCTCTTCACCGGAAAATGGGTTTTCGACAACAAGACGTATCCATTGTACAAAGAAGAACAATGCGAGTTTTTGACAGAGCAAGTAACTTGTTTAAGAAACGGAAGAAAAGATACTCTGTTTCAGAACTGGAGATGGCAACCTAAAGACTGTTCTTTACCAAAGTATAAAGCTAAAGTTTTTCAAGAAGCTCTGTTTTTGTGAGTTTGATCAGATTCAAGTTTTGATTTTTGTTTTTTTTTCCTGATTTGGTTTTGAAGATTCAAAGCAAGAGTGTTGTTAGAGAAACTGAGGAACAAGAGATTGATGTTTGTCGGTGACTCGCTTAACCGGAATCAATGGGAATCAATGGTTTGTTTGGTTCAATCAGTGATTCCTCCAAGTAAAAAAAGCTTAAACCGGACCGGTTCTCTAACCGTTTTCCAAATCCAGGTGATGTCTAACACTTGTGTGACACTAACTGACACCAATTACATTATTTTTATAAACTTCTTAAATTTTTGTTGGTTATTTTGTTTATAAAAAAGGATTATAATGCAACGGTGGAGTTTTATTGGGCACCATTTTTGGTGGAATCAAATTCAGATGATCCGAGTAAGCACAGTATAATCGACCGTATAATAATGCCTGAGTCCATTGAGAAACATGGAGTCAACTGGAAAAACGTTGACTTTCTTGTCTTCAATAGTTACATTTGGTGGATGAACAGTGTCTCCATCAAAGTCCTGTAAGTAGTCTATTACACACATTCATGTAATGAATTTGAGGATTGATGAATTGTGGAATGGTGTGAACAGACGTGGATCGTTCGATGAAGGGGACACGGAATACGATGAGATCCGACGGCCAATAGCATACGAGAGGGTGTTAAGGACATTGGGAGATTGGGTGGACCATAACATTGATCCTTTAAGTACAACTGTTTTCTTCATGAGCATGTCTCCTCTGCACATCAAGTAATCAATTTCTTCCCAACATTTGTTAAGGCTCTTTAACTTTTGGTAACTAATCGTGTATTTCTTTGTTTTGTTTGTTTAGGAGTTTGGATTGGGGGAATCCTGACGGTATAATGTGCGCATTAGAGACCACACCGATCCTAAACAAGTCGATGGTGTTCAACGTGGGGACGGACTACAGGTTGTATTCGGAGATAGGGACGGACTACAGGCTGTTTTCGGTTGTGGAGAATGTGACACGGTCTCTAACAGTTCCGATTCATTTCCTCAACATCACTGGATTGTCTGAGTATCGTAAAGATGCACATACTTCGGTTTACACGATCAGGCAAGGCAAATTGCTGACGCGGGAGCAGCAAAATGATCCGGCCAATTATGCTGACTGTATCCATTGGTGCTTACCTGGCCTTCCCGATACTTGGAATGAGTTACTCTATACGCAAATCATTTCGAAATCGTCATGCCCCAAAAGATGAGATTATTTGCGTTCTCTCCTCCATTTTTGTTGGTTTTTTTTTAAAAATTCTTGTGATGTATATAACACAATTCTTCCAGCTCAAACATGTTACTTCTGTGAGGGTTGACCAGAAAAACAGTTAAAAAAAACAAATCTTGATGCAAAGCCAACTGCTACTAAAGTTGAAGACATTTTTCTCACAATTCTTAAGACATATATGTTGAATAAGTGCACATTTCACAGGACAAGGTATATATTATAATTGTAGTAAATGACAAGATTAGTAGGTGTGTATTATCAGCTCCATGGCTGTAAAAGATGTTGGATTAGTTGAAGCTTAGAGCATTTTGATTAACCAACTACGATCCAACATTTATGATTGTTCAACCATTTTCTCTCCAACAAACCGAAACTAACAGGATGAAGCAAAGTGGTGCTACACAGAGGAATGCTTACCTTCCTTTGTTATACTTTGCAGTCATTCTTCTTCCCGCGTTCCTTCTTGGATGTTTTCTGTACAATGAGAAGCTGAGGAGTAACCAGTTTCAAGAATTGACGACACATAAACTACAAGAACACGTCAGTCCACCAAATCAAAGGAAAGAAGATAATTACAAGGCGGCTGATCTGGTGCCATTAGACGTATGCGATGTTTTCACAGGAAAATGGGTTCTTGATAACGTCACACATCCTTTATACAAAGAAGACGAATGCGAGTTTCTCTCAGAGTGGGTGGCATGTACGAAAAACGGGAGGCCAGACTCGAAGTACCAGAAATGGAGATGGCAACCTCGAGATTGCTCTTTGCCAAGGTCAGTTCCATCTTTCTGAGAACAAAAAGTAGCAAATTGAGTTTACACT